ATACACACGCCGCGATTTCAAAATCTAATGCCTGGTATATGTACAAACCGCCAACGGCGCGCGGCATGAAAGTCATCGCCCGCCGCGTTCGGAAGTGTGTACATAAACGTACGTTGGCGCTTCGCGTTTCATTCGGACAAAATCACGGTTATTCGAGATTATTGCGGGGGAACAAAGTCGATAATTTTTATACGAAGTTATATCGTTGCCCTTGAAACTACCCGAAGGACTCATTCTACAGGACATTTTTATGCAAGGGTCGCGCCTCGCGATCGAGTTTAATTAGATATTAGCATCGCTTGATCTTCGTCGAAGAGAAATTTCTCAAAGTGTCTAACAAGGAATATCTGTACGTGAGTTATTTTTTTGAATTTCAAGGTCACGTATGCCAAGTTTCGAAAGAGACACTATTTTAGCGAGGTGTCTTTTTTACAATACCGATTACTCAGCACGCTCGCTTGTGCTTATCGCTTCTTTATCGTCACAATTTGTATTCCAACGATTGTCCCATACTGACGTAAATCAGAACCGATATCATTATTGAGCAACGATCGCGTATCACCTCGGTTGGGTATATACCCTTTTTTCAGGGTTGTGTCGCGGTACTGTAAGCTCGACCATTCGCACAGTATAGTGTCAAAGGGTAATTCACATCGTTTCTATTACCTATACTATACACGCCGGCTCAACTATATAAATACAGTAGACTAACGGTTTACATTCGGCGCAGCAACGGCAGCGGATGTGAATCGTGTCGCAAGCTGCATCAACCCAAAGCCACCACCAGGCGCATGGGTATGTATGTATGTGCTAGCAGCAGCAGCCGTGTCATAAAAACATGTAACGTTTTAGGTATTGATCGTTACAACGGCGGTCGGCGCGGCACCACCACCGCCGCCGCCGCCACGCTGCTCCGCTATCTCATCCATGTACAGTCTGCCGCCTGGCTATATATAGGTATACAGCTCGCGAATGGGGGTTCTTGGCTCCGGCTCGGCACGTTACATATTTTTCGTGTACTGTACATCTCTTGGATAGATAGATAGAGAAAGAGAGAGAGAGAGAGAGAGTCGCGGAGAGCTGCTCCGAAATGCGCGTAACGCGATATCGTGACGTAAACGAAAAGTTCCTTTCCGATTAACGAACGCGGCACAGCGCGTCGATTATATCGAATCGATGAGAGAGCTCCGCGGCTCGCGCGCTATCTGCCTTTGTACTTTTTGGAAATACGATACGGTACGTCCGAACGGGGGGGTCCATAATAACGCGCGCACACACACACACATATAAGACACGCGTCGGCGTGCGTGCAATATTATTGTATATTTAATATCCGACGATGACGAGTCCCCGCGGAGTCGATCTTCGTCTGTGTATAATGTGTGTGAACGTGTGCGTGTATTTGTATACATTAGAGCACGCACATGATCGCGCGGCCATTTTGTTATTCCCTCGAACGTAACGCGAGCCAGACGAAGACAGAGCGATCACAGGCATACCCGCGGAATGTGTGCGCGCGCGCGCGTTTGTATATATACGTATATACGTTGTATGTAAGCAGCAGTTGGCTTGGCACACATATACTGTATCTGTGTATACAAGTTGAGTACTGTGTACGTTAATGCGAGCCGCTAATGTAGTAATAGGAAAGAGAAAGAGAGACATTACAGCGAGACACCTATTTACGCTGACCGTGAATTCTTCCTCTCTTTGTAGCTACCGTGTTTTTTATCGTCGTTATAAATTTTACGCCGTCGTGATGGTGTACGTTATATGTATCGATACAACGTGGATATATACTATTAATCCCATTCATACGAACTCGGGGCGCGCGTATACACAGACACACGCACGCACACGCATGCATATAGAAGCGCGCGCATGGGTATCCTGCAATTCATCGCGAAATATAGAGAAGGAAGCAGGGCACATTACGACGAATCAAAAACTCAAAAAGTAAAAACGAGATGGATTCGACGAACGAAGAGGCCTACACGCGGCACGTATTCTTAGAAGTGGAGTAGAGTGTAGCATTACGAGTTAAACAGGCGTACGCGCGGGTGTGGTGGCGCGAGCGGGGGGTGAAAAAACAAAAAAGAGGAGAGAGAGAGAACGACGATGACTCTGGCGTTTTGAACCAAAGAGAACTTTTGACGTTCATCGGCCCTCGTTAATTAAGATCTCGTTTCGGAGCAAATCGCAACGTTAACGGGACCGTTGGTATGTAAAGCGCGCTGCAACTTTCGTGCTACCTATATTGCGCGCGCGCGAATCACAATGACACAAAAATACATATAGAACGATAGAACTATTTTTTTTTTTACTCTTATATATATTTATTTCCTTGTATATACAGAATTTTCATACAGAAGAGGTATAAATATAATAAAAAAACCATTAATTTAAGCTTAAATATACAGAATGGCCAAGTGGCGCTCGCTGTAATACAATAACAGAAAATTTACAGTAGAGGAATGTAGAATATCCATTAGGATTAGATCTTGATATTAAAGTTAAGTAAACTGTAACTTAGAAAAATTTTGACAAAAAAAAACTAAGTCTTACTTTCTAGTTTTCTAAAAACTTATACAATGCAATACTATAATATTACTTTTTACATATAACAGATTAAGACTAAGTGCAATAACAAATTTTCAATAAACTATAACTAAGTTAGAGAGTAGTAGTCAAAGACCAAGTTTGGAACTATTTTGCTTAATTTTTATAAAATTTAAATTATTTTTTAGTCTTATAGTAAGAGAACTTTTTTAGAAGATCTTTGTCTACTCTTGTGACGCTTCTATTAAAACTAAGCAAGTCAGAATTTAACGTGGCAGGATTGAATTGAATTTTTTTGTCCCAAATGGACCTTTTTAAATGAAAGAAAAAACGATAGAACTATAGGAGCTTGCGTGTACATCACCCACTGCACCTTATAACTATTATACGAATGACTTTTAACTCGCGCCGCGCTAACGAGAGACGCGATCGGCGATTAACAATGACGCGTTGCGAGAAACATAAAAATACATCGTTATTATTACAGACGAGGAGGAAACAGCCGCGTTAAAAGAGAAAAAAAAGTAAGCAAGTCGATCAGCGAGCCAAGAATCTAAAAGCGTGTGTGTTTTCTCTCGCGCGCGCGCGAATCGTATTGTGACGCGCTCTACAAAACGCGTCTCTCTCTCTCTCTCTCTATATCTGTGAACTATAAAGTGCATCTTTCTCGCGCGCGCGCCACCAACGGTCGACTCGTTCGTTCGTTTATAATATGCATCCGTCTCTTTCTCTATCGCAAACTCGGCATGTTTGCTCGCCAACTATATTTACTTCTCTCTCGCTTCGTCTCTACCCTTTTTGCGCTTGAAACAGAGAGAGAGAAAGAAAGATAGAAAGAAACTATGCGAATGCGAACTATATAGACGTGCAGCAAGCACACCACCGCCGCCGCCGAGAGGCACACGAGCCAGAAAATCCGAAGCTCATTAGAGGACGAACGAAGTGTATCATAAAGAGAGAGAGAGAGAGAAAAAAAAGAAAGAAAGAGAAGCCGAGGCAGCAGCAGCAGCTTAAAGCCCAACTGCAGCAGCGCACGGTTTGCGCGTCGAGAACATCCGATTGAAAAAAAAAAACAAAAAAACACGAGTTTCTCCTGCACCCACCCGACACGACGACGACCAAGCTCGCACTTGCTCGGCTCGCGACCGATAGTAAAATAAAACAATATTGTCATTGCATTAATTGCAAAAAAAGTGCAAGGCAGGGCAGCCACACACACGTCTCTCTCTCTCTCTCTCTCTCTTTTTCTCTCTCGTACCTTGCACTAGCTCATATATACACTGGAAAAGAGAGTGTGTGTGTGTGCATGCGCGTGTATCAATCGTTGCTATATACATCTGTATAATATTCGCGCAGCGCAGGAGCGTTTCGCGCTTGTGTGCGTGCAACGGTGTAATAGCCCGAGTGGTGCTGCTCTGCTCTACTGTGTGCGCGGCGCCCGTATCACAGCTTATAGAAGAGAGAGAGAGAGAGAGAGAGAGAGAAGAATCGTCAGCGCAGAGTCCGCAGTAGTCCCGGAGAGGAAAGAGAGCCTAGAAGGGCACCCAAGAGAGAGCACACATAACCGTGTTTCTTTTTCTCTGTGCGGATAACCCGCGCGCGCTCGAGTCGACTTTGTAACGAGTGAAATAATAAAAAAAAAAGAAGAAAAAAAGAGAGAGGGCCGCGCGATAGATAGATTATAATATATTGTATTAAAGCAAGACGGAGTATATAAGAAAAAAAAGAGAGCGAGTTTCGGGTTCTCGTGCAGTGTGTTGAAGGCAGCCACCACCACCAGCCAGACAGAGACAGAGTTAGAGAGAGAGAGAGAGAGAGAGAGCAGAAAAAAGGAAAGAAAAAAGATAAAGTGTGTGGTGGTGTTATACATATACGTGTTGTATGCGTGCGTGTGAGTGTGGTACCGTTCGTGTGTGTTTATGTGTGTGAAGTGGCTCGCGAAGCAGCAGCAGCAGCAGCAGCATTATAGGCATATTATACGCGGCTGTATATAACAGCGCATCGTCGTCGGTCACGTCGGCGATTCTCGTCTCTTCTCCTCTCTCAACTTGACCAAAAAGTCGTTTTTCCTTCCTTGTTATACGTATACATAACTTTTTTTTTCTCCGCTTCTTCATCATCGTCGATCTTCAACAGCAACGACGACGACGACGACGACGAAGACGACGACGTGAACCTTTTTTTTTTCATTCTCATTTCTCCCGTGTTCCTCTTCAACAAGCCGTTTTTTTTGATAAAAATATAACACAATTATTCGATAATAAAGAATAAGGAATCGACGTATAGTATAGTACTGTGTATAACGCGAACTGTGCCGTATAGTAGTGTGTGTTAATTTAATTGTTTCATCTTATTATTAAATATATAAAATCGACGACCGACGAAAGTTTGCAACAACAACAACAACAACAAAAAGTGTCAAGTATAATTTAATTATTTAAAGTAAAAAAAAAACAGAAGAGAAGAAGAGGATTCTTTTGTGTATGTGTGTGTATTAGTTCGACGACAACGACGATTTCTCAACAAAGAACACCACAACCTGCGTTGAGAAAGTAACAACGTATACATATACATCGCGTATATACACGTATACATATAATACAAGAGAATCAAGCGGAGAGCCTTAGACAAAAAATCTCCGCCACGGTGGTACCGTATTAAATATTAAAACAACAACAGCAACGATCCGCAAGAAAAGAGGCTCTTTTTCATCGCCACTCGACCAAGTTCTACTCGTCCTGTTGGCAAAACACACACGGCAGTTGGCTAGCCGTTGTGTGTCCGTGTCTGTGTGTGTGTGTACGCGCCAGTGAGTGTGTCTGTGTGTCTACGTCGCCCGTTGTGGTGTGTCGTCCCGTTCAGAGAGTAGTGTGCGCGAACCAGCAAAAAAAAAAGCAAAGAAGAAGCAAATCCAACGTTGAAAATTCTCCTCTTTCTTCGAGGCTCTCTCTATCTCTTCGACTCTTTTTTTTCTATACCACACGTCTCCGTGTCTGTGCGTCTGCGTGTCTGTGTTGTAACGACGACGGACAACACCAGCAGCAACTTGGGAGCCTGACGTTGCCCCGAGGGATTTTCTTGTATCGCCTACCCATTTGGACGGACCAAGGTAAGGGAGTCGCACACGAGCTTCTCTGTCCTTTTTTTTTTCATTTTCTCGTTATCGCGTCAGCCTGTGTCTCGTCGTTTCCTTCGTCCAAGTCGAAGCGCATTTCTATATACATATAGTTCTATCGCACACACATATATCTATGCGTGTGTGTGTGTGAGTGCGCAAAGTCGAGGCTCTCGTCGGTCGGGCGCGAGAAAGAGACGGAGCGTCGTCATATAGCGTACAATACAACACACACACATACTACTTAGCCCCAGCGTGTGGCACGCGAAATAGAATTCGTGTATACGTGTCAGTGTGCATATAATGTGCACGAGAGAGAGCACAAAATGTATACTACATTACATTATTATTGTACGTAAAACTCGGACGACGATCATGCTCGAGCTCTTGAGGTTGTTTCTTTCCGGAAGGAAGGAAGCTGCGCGCCGCGTATACATCGCACGCATACGCGTATATCGTCGCGTATATAACTCGGCCAGGGGAAACGGAACGCCAACACGCCTTTGCCGTATAATATACCTATACACTTCTTGTATATACACGGGAGTCGCGCTTATGGGTTAGGTCGCACACGATCGGAGAGCGATTTGTGCGCGCCCGCGTGTATGTGTGTGCGTGCGCGCTGACACGCACACGCAGAAATTCGCCGGGATTCTCTCGTATACGATGCGTGTGCACGATGATACAGAGAGAGAGAGGCGTTTTTGCAACAAACTCGAGAATCGAGAAAAAAATTGTTGTTGCCCTAGGTTGGCGGTGGTAGGAATCTCTGCCATTCGCGCGCGCGCGCGCGAGAAAGAGTCCAAATTCTGCGTGTGCATGAGCGCGTGTGTGTGTGAAATTCCACGCGAGATTTTTTTACGCGTGTACACGCGTACCTAAGCTCGTTCGTCTCTCTTTCTTTCTCTCTCTCTCTCTCTCTCTCTCTCTGTGTTCGTGTCGTTCTTCCGTCGCCCCCTTGCACCCGCTGCGCGCAGCGACACGATCGCGCCCCTTTTATAATGTAAATCCGTGTCTACGTGTATGTGCATACGCTTACTACCTAGTATATATATTCCCTTGAACGGTAGCAACACTACATACACACATTCGCACGCAGCACATACACCGACGCGCCGCCGCGAGCAGCAGCAGCGGCTGTACGGCATTAAACGAAAGAAGATGGACGGGAGAGAGAGAGAGAAAGAGAGAGTGCGTGCCACGGAACATAGAGAGAGAGAGCAATGAGTGTATATGTAACGCGGCGCCGCGAAGCTTTTCTCTCTATCTTTCTCGCTATTCTTTGCCACTCGTTTATGCGCTATCTCCGCGAGTTTGAGTTCCTCAACTGTTTCTCCTCTCGATCCGCGATATGTATTATACGAGTATAATGTATATAGGTACACACGGATGATACGATGATTTCTTTTTTCCTAATCTAAATGCCCATGCTACGCTGCAAGGTGGATCGAATCGCCGCTTGGAAGCCTTCTGACCGCCAGTACGCGACACATTTACCTAATGACGAAACGACGATCAACGGCGGGCCGACCGAATTTTCATTATGATAATTTCTCTCGTTATCGGTCGGTCGTTACGACTCTATATCTTTCTCTCTTTCTCGCTCTCTCTCGTATACATGCAGGTCTACGGGCGCGTCTGCATTGATGTACATCACTTGGTTATTATAATAATGTCTGCCGCTAGCGTAGGCCAATATTTGAGAAGAAATATGTACGCTACATTCACGGTGGCGGCGTCGGCGGTAGCGGTGATGATGATTACTACAACTACTACTCTACTACTAAGCCGTCTACTTTGTTATGAGAGAGAAAGAGAGAAAGATATAATGTATAGGTTCTCTTTCTCTCTATACACATTACACTTATGAGAGAGTCAGCAGTAGCAGCATCGGCGGAGCGTAGAAAAACCTTTACATTGTATATGCAGCTACGAGCAGCATATCGCGCACGCGACACGACGACGGAGCTCTTACTATACACGCCGCTGGTGTAGTGGTATTGGTGTAGCGGTGGCTGGTCATCGTTCGTTCGTTGAGATTTCTTTTTATTTTTCGTTGTGTTCATTTGCATGGAGCCCAGCGACGACAACGCGTATCCGTCCATCAGCGTAAACGTGAGTCAATAGTCTTATTAACCATTAAGGTGTACACAATACGCGTACTCAATCGTGCTCGAGTATAAAACATAGAAGAGATCGAGAAAGAGAGTATAAAATATGGAGTGCTGCTGCAGGCTGTGCATATGTGTTAGCGCGTATATATACGTGTATGCGCGACATGCACGCACGAGCCGATATATATATAGTGTAGTTGTGTGCCGCGGCGGCGGCGGCAGCAGCGGCCTTGGACGAGTACGATCGCCTTGAAAGAATACAAAAAAGGGGGAATTATATAGCGAGAAGAAGAGGTTGTGCGCCTCTCTCGGTGTATCATAACCAGTGAGAGCGAGCGAGCGAGATTCGAGACATTTTTCCGCAAAACAGCAGTACGTATTAACCGAGAGTGAAACGAGACTCGCTGAAGGAAAAAACGTGTACGGTTGATGCGTATTTATTGTTATTATTATAGAATGCCCTTTTTCCTTCTCCTCCTCCGTGCGTGCTACGAGTGTGTGCGCCTCCTGCGAGAGTCGCGAAGTTGAATGACCTTCTCTCTCTCTTTCGCGCGCGCACTGGCTGTGCAGCAGCAGCAGCAGAGAGCTTCTGGCCTCCTTGCGTTCGTTCGTGTCTCGCGCGTTGCACACGCGCGTTTTTCCCCCAAAAAAGGATTGCCGTATTAAGGTGTATGTGTGTGCCCGAAGTGAAAATTGTTGCCGATATTGATACACTGATCGCGATATCGTCGTGTTATCGAGAAGCGTTGACGCACATTTTTCGTCTCTCTCGCGCACTCTCGCACTCGTGACTTGCAACGTGTTGACAGTCGAAAAGGAGAAGAACGTTCTCGACAAAGAACGTTGAATTATTATTGTTTGTTTCTCTCGCCGTCTCTATCTCGCTCTTTCTGTCTTTTGCACTCGCGCGAAAGAGAGAGAGAGAGAATTCCTTTGTCTGGCACGTGTGCGATGCGTGGTCTGGTTATATATTAATGATTCATTTGTTCAAAAAAACGTGACGTTACTTTACCTCTTTTTTTCATTTTTATTTTTGCAGACAAAAGGTTCGTTCGCTGGGTCTGAGCAGTCCTAAATGGTTGCCTGCAGACAGTATGTCTACTCTGTCAGGGATTGCTTCGAAGGGGGAGAAAGGAAAAACCAAGTATCAATCGATAGACATCAATAGTTTGTACCGCACCAGCAGGGTAAGTTATTCTTAATACCCTGCAATGCCATGCAATGCAAAAGATGAGACCGATTGTTGTAATTGGATATAATGAACTTCCTTTAGGGAGAGTCTTTGGAACAACAGCAACAAAAAAGCACGGTACCACGTAAACATGGAATGCAAACATTGGGAAAGGTGCCCTCAGCCAGGCGACCTCCAGCTAACTTGCCAAGTCTGAGGAGTGAGACCAGCAGCAGTGATCCAGCAGTCGCTCTAGTACCAAGCGGTGGTAGTGGTTGGGCCACAACCAAGGAATCAGCACCTACTACAAACACTGTAACTTCAACCAACACCCCCACAAATACAACACACGTTAGTAGATGATTTTATTGAACTATTTGTGAATTGACTCAAACAGTTTGCTGGTAACATGTCTTTTCCGAAATATAGGTAAATTCTACACCAACACAATGTGCAACAGGACCCATACCTGCAAAAACACCTTCATTAACACAACAACAGCATCCATCACTGCCAGGACAAAATCAACACCAAACAGATTCAGGAAAGTCATCATGGAGTGCAATAATGAGCAAACAAGGCGATGTTGGTGAGTTAAATAAATATTATTTGACCTTTAATCTCATGAACCATTTTCATCATTAATAACTGTATTTTCTATTATTTAATAATCACTGTTGCTATAAATTTAATGTTGAAAAAGCTCAAGGTGAATCATGCAATTTAAGATTAGTAGACACTGCTTGATTGATAAACTAGCAACTTACATTCTGATAAAGAAACTAACAGAGTCTATCAGTGTGTTCCACTAGATATAGAGACTATCTTAAGTGCTATAATTTGAATTAAAGCATCATGATACAAATGCATCCCTTAAAAACGAATTGAGTTTCTAAGTAAAAGAAACTTATTGTCGTTTAACATAATGTTCCTGGTAAATGTATAGCATTCGGTTATGCAGGCCTTGTAGAATCGGGAAGAGGCGGCCGAGGCTTAAGCTTTTTGGCCCACCAGTCTCCACAGTTCCAGCACGAGTTTCCAAGTCTGAGCGGCCAGTCATCCGGCCCACCAACAGGCCAGCAGCAAACAGCTGCAGGTGCCAACTTATCTTTATCTCACAATCATTTTAGTGGGCTTTTATTTGTGCCCTCTGCTCTTTTATTTGATTTGCTTTCTTATCCAGTTCGTAAATTACACCAACTGTCAATTAAATTTTGTAACCTACCCATATCTCCAGTTTTTGGTTACACCTTCTTTTTTTCTCCATTTTAATAATTGTTCTTATTGTTCAAAACAATAAAAAAATCTCTCACAATCCCACAACATTTTCTAATAAAGTTTTTGATTTACATTTTTGAATATGTCCATGAATAAGGATTAGTTGATTCTGATTTACTTATCCATATTCTGAAACATATTTTAAATGTAATAAAAATAACATTTTATAGAAAATGTTTTATCAATGAGAGTTTTTACCCTTGTGTATGTTTTTTTTTTAATTTTACTCTTGTTTGTAGCCCTAAGAGAGCATCCATTTTTATGCTGTATTGCTTATTTTAATTATTTCCTGCATATGTTGACGACGTTCATAAACTATTTGCAGTAAAATTTTTATTTCAACTGTACTTGATGTTTAATACCTATATTTTAGCCCATTGTTGTAGAGCATGTTAGTATTATTATTATTACAATTGTTGATAGTAGGCCATAGGTGATGTTACAGAAGCATAGAAAGATGCGCTTATAATTTTGTTATTTTTTTTAATCCACATTTGATCATTTATTTTCAAACACTATTTTCAATCGAACCCCATAATTCATTGTTTCAATTATTTTTATTTGAAATTTTTTACATTAATTTTGCAGTTGGTACTTGAAATATTATTTATGATTTACTTATATCGTGCAATTTTAATTTTTTCTAAAAGGAGGCGGACCTGTAGCAGGACAGCAGCAAACACAACAGAACCGCGAAAACGCACAATATGGTCCCGGGCCAAGTCTACGTCCCCAAAGTAAGTTTGGCGAGATAATAAAGAAATGACCATTTTTTTTTGAAGTTGAATTGGATAGATTTGACTAATGAATTCGTTATTATAAAATAAAACTAGCAGAAGGAAGCTGGAGCCAAGGTGGAAGTCGCATAGCGGGTGGTGCACCGGGATCAGCAGGAGCGGCCGGCGCTGGGAATACTCAGGGGGGCCCGGGCCCCCACTTGGGTGGTCCCAGTCCAGCGGAAGCTGCCGCTGGCGTACGAACGAACTCGGCCCAATCGCAAGGCATGGCAGGGGGCCAGGCAGGCCAGAATGCAGCAGCTGGTGGTGCCTCACAAAATAATCAGGCTAATCAACAACAACCTGGAATGAGTAATATGCACCATTACAGAGGAATCATTCCCCCATTTGTAAGTATATAATTTTGTCCCTCCTTCGCCACCTATCATTGAAAGTACAACGCGCTAAATAAAAAATTTTCCTCAGATGTATAAAGGTCAACTGGCTGCGGGAAATAACTTCCCTACTCAGTTCCCAGCGACTGGTCCACGACCACGTTTCAATTATACAGGCGATCGTGCATCACCTCGCCAACAAGAGCGCGAGTCTCGCCAGCCACCCCCAGAAGAAGAAATTGTGACGCGTCCAATTATCAAAGAAGAGGACTTGTCTCGCATGGACGACATTTCGCGTGATGCCGGTTGGACCGCCTCCGATGACATAGATTATAATCAAAAACTTGCTTTCAGCGATGAGGAAGGTGATGAGCCATCGAGCAACCATCACTCACAGTCTCATCAACAGTCTTCATCTAGCGCTGCAAGTTCTAAAAAAATAGAAGACAGTCGAAAGGAATCAGACCACAAAAAAGATCATTCTGAAGAGAAAGATAATTTACCCTCCAGAGAAAAAGAACATCCACCACAGTCCAAGGATAATCGCAATGACATGCAGTCCATGCGTTCTTGGAACCAGCAAGGACCACCACGTGACTATCGTGGACAGTCAGCAGCACCCTCAAATAATTATCCTCCTCAGCAACCATCAAGATCGTCCCACGCTATCAGAGGTAAGAACGCGTTTCCAATTCCTTGAAAAAGTTTTTCGGACAATGCATGTACGATATCGTTCACATGAAAAAACCAAAATTTTTCGTACTTTCTATTAAAATAACACATTGAATAATATATGGTTACAGATGAAGAAGAGTTATGGAACCAGCGACGTCGCGAACAGGCCGAGAACATGAACTCGGTCGTGATACGCGCTCGTCAGCGCAAAGAGGAAGAAGAGAAGCGGTTCCTCGAGCAGACCAAGCAGGCTGCCGCCAAGAAATTGCAAGATCTCGAGAACAAGTTGCGCGAGAAGAAGCAAAAGGACGAAGAGCAGCAAAAGCAGCAGGCCGGTAATAGCGAGAGCAAGTCGAGCGTACCACCGGCAGCGTCCGCAATCATGCCCGAGTGGAAGCGAGAGACGCGGTCGCGCACTTCCTCCTCGGACGCGTCGTCGAGCAAAGACAGCCAGCAGCAGGCCGGCGCAACTGACAAACACCAAGCAACAAGTGAGTTTCGCCAGATTGAACGTCCCTCTTTCATGCGCCAACAACAGCAACAGCAGTCGGCTGGAGCATCGAACGCTTCCTCCTCCATGGAACCGTCGAGTGGCCCGTCAGCGCGCGAGCCCGCTTTCTCCCGTCACTTTCAGAGCAATCTGCCGCCGAGATTTCAAAAGCAGCAGGCCGAGAGGAGCGGTGCAGCAGCTGCACAGGCTCAGACCAATAATCGACTTTCCCCAAGCACCGAGCGCTCCTCGCAGCCCGTTTCATTTTCGCAGCAATATGACCCTGGTCGATGGGTCCATAACCATGCTAACTCATTGAGTACGTGCCATTGAGCGATTTAACTCTTTATCTCTTCGTTAGTGTATTCGTTAAGAGTGTTTTCTCTTCCATACCTCCGTAGATTTTTTTATGCATGATCTTTTTCACATCAGACCTAACTGCACCCTTTTTTTACTCTTTTTTTTTTGCATGGTATTTTAACAAAACATGTATTGCTATTGATTTGCGTGCATTTAAATCCTTTACGTTATGTCATGCACAATTTAAATGCTTTGGACGGCTAACATCCGGCATGCAATATCAATCTATCATACGCTGCTAAAATACGCCCTAAAAATCACCCGATCCTCATTTTCTCACTGACTTGTCCTGATAATGTTGCCTAACCCGTAAAATAATTGTCTACTAATGCCAATTTTAGATTGTGTTTAATTGCGAACGCTCATTAGTAGTTATGGCGTCGTTAATGATTCAAAAGATATCAAAGTAAGCTTTGATAATATTTTGAAATCATTTATGTAATGATGGAAAACTTATGAAAGATAACTTACGTGCTTAGTAATGAGCCATTCGAAAATGTATATCTGATTTCTTAGACTTCTTGTAATACCAATTTCTACTTCCGTTTCAATATCTTGTCTATTTATGTCAAACTTTTAATTAAGTATTTTAAGGTGATGAAATTTCGATACCATAATAATCATTAGTTAAATACTTCTTAACGACCGAAAAAATGCTCCTTTTTATCTTAGAACTACAAAGCAACAAGTTATCTTTGATTATTATTCGTTCTTATGATAATGACTTACCCTCTGGTGCATGTAATTTTTTTAATCCTGCATGAAATTATATAAATTTTCATAAATTAGGTTTAATATCATTTAAAATAGATCTCTATGGAATTAAGAAACATAATTTATATTGTCTCAAGTATCTTTAGCAAGTATATTTGTTTATAATTGTAATTTTACTCTGAAAATTTTTTTTGAACAATTTTAATCATTTCACTACTATCGCAGACAACAGTATGAAACCTGGCCCAAGACGCATGGACGAGCGCGATCGTGAGCGTGACCGGGACGACGATGCTAGGGACCGTCGCAGCAGTGGTGGCAGCGGATCCCATCGTCGCTTCGAACCTGCCAGAAAGCAGTCCAGCAACGAGTACTACGACGATTATCCACGTCGCGATCGCGATCGTTACTCGTCCGGCAAGGAATACGACTACGACGACAATCGACGCAACAGTGGCAGCTGGGCTGACCAACATCCCGACCAGAGGCGCGGTTACGACGACAAAGACAGCAGAGATCACAGAGACAGAAAGGATCACGATGGATACAGCAAGGTAAGTTGCAGCGATGCTTTCACGCTGCTCAAGTTAAGAAAAATGAAATTTTGGGAAGCATCGACTCATGCGACATTTATCGTTGATACAGGGATCGCCTCAGGAGCACGCGTTCGACGATCAGCAGCCCAGCGACTTGCGCCACGGCGCTCGCAGCGACAACAACAGCTCCGGCGACTGGCACGAGAGTCGCGTGTCCCACGACGACAGCGGCCGACGCAGCGTCAGCAGTGCTGATCTCGGCCATCGTTCCGAGAACGAGCGGCCGACGCGTCCGGATTCCCGGGACTCGCGCACTTCGCGTACCTCGGTGCACGAGGACTCGCGCATAGCGCCTTCCACCGGCTCCTGGGCCAATGATTATCCCGAGTACGAGGAGGAGCAGCTGTTGAAACAGCAAGCCCCGAAGAAGCCACTGGGTGATAACTTCCGAGAAGACATCCGGGACAGGGATCGCGATCGTCGTCAGATGTCGGGCCCATTGATGGCCAAGGACAAGCATGATCAAGACCAGGACGTGCACAATAAGCGCGGAGGTCCGATGAAGCGTCACGACGATAAGAAAGACAGTCCGAAGGAGGACAAAAAGGAGGAATGCGTCTGGGGACGCAAATCCGAGACTAAGAGCACGAGCTGGGCCGATGCCATGTCGCCAACCTTTGAAAAGGAGGAGGAAGAGAAGCATCGCTACGGACACGACGACAAGTCGAAGATGAGCGATCACAAGACAGTCAACGAACTCAAGCACGGCATGGAGAAAATGAGCCTCGACAACAAGAAGCGCAGTCCCGCGGACGCTTCCTCGGCTGATATGCTCGACAAAGACGTCGACGACAAGGACGACAAGCGCGACAAGAATGCGCGCAACCGCGCTGGCAGTGGCAGCGCTCGAGGACCGCGTCCTTCGGACTCGCGCAACGCCCGCCAATGGCCGGACGATCGAGACCGTGAGCGTGGCCGTGACCAACGCGACCGCGTCGATCGCGATCGTGCTGGATCCAATGCCTATCCTTCCGCCGGCGGTCGTGATCGCGATCGCGACCGTGCCGAGCGCGAGCGTCCCTGGAGAAACGAGGCCAACGTGCAACCAGCCGTGTCTGCGGCCCCGTCATCCAGGGGAGGTCGTCGCGGTCCTGGTGGCAGCAGAGGTTTGAACCGCAAGCCTGGTTACGATCGCACCGATTCGGAACTCAGCGGTGACGAGCTCGGTCAAGCCAGCCACGATCAACTGCCGAAGGCTCGCTCGCCCAAGCCGTCAGCACCAAAAGCTGAAAAGGATGAACGCAATCGTAATCAATCGTCGTCGGCCTCCGCTGCGAGCAGCGCATCCGCGTCGACGGCAGCCAGCTCTCAGCAGCAGCAGCAGCAACAACAGCAGCAGAAGAGCAGCGGTAGCAACAAGGACATTTCCAATGATTCCCAGCAACGAGATTTCGGTCCACGCGGTGGCGACAAGAGGTCCGACAGTGGAAGACCCAGTCGCGAAGGATTTGCGCCTTCTGGTGAGCCTTCGCGTCGTGGACGTGGCGGATTCCGTACGAACAACACGTCTCGCGGAGCACCGCCGGTCAACGTCATTACGAGTGGCGGCGCCGCCGGCGGACGCATGGACGGTTACGGGCCACCACCCAGTAAGAGCCCCTTTTCCACCGACAGACCGGACAATCTCATCGACTCCAACAAAACCAATGCCAGCCCGTCCGAGCACTACGACCAGTCGAATGCTCAGCTGTCGGGAGATCAATCGGCCGATGAAAAGACAATGGCTAAGCAGCAGGCCTTGACTGCTGGCCTTACGCGACACGCCAAGTCACCTAGCACTCAGGTGAACAATCACAGTGGAGGTAACAATGCCGGACAGCAGCAAAGCGCCGGGCCCAGACCTCCCAAGGAGAAAGAGCTCAAATCCAAGCGTACCCGAAGCGGTAGCCGACGAGGTGGTGGTCGAGGCCGCGGTATGTCGATGAAGAATGAACACGGCAACGAAGAGTGGGAGACCAACTCTGAAAACAGCGAGGAACAGCCGCTCGACGGTCATGGACCGCCATCGAGTCGCTCGAACAAGCCGTTTAGAAATGAGCGCAACGCCGTTGGCAATAATCGCGACGCCCACGACAATCGTGACAATCGTCGCGGTGGCGGCAATAGAGATCGCGACAGAGAGCCCAGGGAGCCGAGGGAACCCAGAGAGCCAAGAGAGCCAAGAGAGCAGCAGCCCAAAGGAGGCGACAGCAAAGGTCCCAAGTCTTCCAACGCCCAGTCGAATCGCGCTCCAGGCGCCGAGAAAGCTCGCAACGCCCAGGGAGCCGCGGACCGCAGCGGCGGAGGACCACAGCGTAACCACATTCCACCATTAATACAGAATACCCAGCTTAATGGTCGTCCGCGCAGCCAAGGCTCAGCCAACGCTGGCCCGATCAACAGTATAAAGATGGGCAAGGAGGCCCAGATGGTGAATCGCGTCGACGACATCAAGCTAAATGATCCGAATCTTGTTAACCAAGCTCTGAACGACATCAATGCCAAGAAATCCAAGGAAAAGCGCAGCAGCGCCGGCAGTAACGTGGACCACGACGATGGTAGCATCATCGACGACGCTGCATCCGGTAATGCCGGAGACGACGGAAAAATCGACTCCGATGGATTCCAGGAAGTTCGATCCAAGAAGAACGTCAAAGACTCCAGCAGACAACAGCAGAAGGACGAGCAACAGAACGCCAAAGCTGGTGGCAGACGCGAACGCTCCAAATCCAAGAGCAACGGTTCCCAGTCGTCTCGTGGCGGCGATGGCATGCAGCAGCAACAGCAGCAGCCACAGCAGTCGCAGTCCCAGAACCAGAGCATCCCGCCACTGATGGGACCGCCTGGCGCTGCGGGCCAAGCGAAGCAGCATTACGGACAGCACAAGCAGAAGCTTGCGCCGCGTTTCCAGAAACAGAAAATGGCCAAGCAGCAAGCCGTCAACGAATCCGTGGACATACCGTCTAGCGCCAAGCCCGGCTCCAAGGACGGCTCAGCCGTCACTCCGGCGCCGCCGCCCGTCAACGCCTGGGACAAGCCCTTCACCAGTGGTGGCGCGGCCAAGCCGCCCTCGCCCGCTGTTGGCTCGGCGGCCGGTGACATTCAGCTCATGTCGGTACTGACCCCTGGCTCTGGATCGAGCTCCAATGCACCAAACGCCGATCACGACTCCAATCAAGCAGCTGATAATCAGCGCAACTCGCCCAACTGCGACAAAATCAAGCTTGGCTCTATGAAGGATCAGACCGGTGGTCAAGATGACACGACCTCGGCACCTGTCCAGACACTGATATTTGAAAATACAAACTACTCGAAGAACACCAAGAGCAACGTAGGTTCGACTGGTGACATGGCCATCAAGTCAAAGTACTCCAGTCACATGAAGCCCCAACAGAGACAAGATTCCGGCAGCAAACGTTCCAACGACATGGTGGAGGACAACGAGGGTGTGAATCAGCTGCAACAGCAACAATCACTCGCCGTTGCCTTCTCCACCAAGTCCTGTGGCGAGCTCGCCGTGGGCAAGGACAAACTTGTCCAGCAGCAGGATGCCATACAGATGCCCCTCACCTTCGGCACGACATCGGGCAGCGGCAAGGAGGACACCGCGGACATGAAGCTGGACTTCACGTTCGATTCTGATCTGAGTCAGCTTACCGACGACAAGGGCAAGAGCTTGGGCATGCCAAGGTCGATTCAAATGCCAATCAACCAGAGCACCATATCGCCCTCGACGGCCGAGCTCAATCTCAAGATAGCCTCGGTCAAGAAGGTGTGGGAGAACGCGCCGCCGATGCCCACTGTCGTCGAGCACGACGTGGTTGACCCCAACAGCGTCGTCAGCGCCGCTAACAGCTTCAATCAGCCGTTCGAGGCCAACGACGTCGACGACGGCTACAGTGCAGCGCATCAGCAGTACAATCAAGCCGCCATGAAGAACGACATGAACGCTGCCAATAACGTTTGCAAGGTAAGTGTCTCGAGTGCAGGGACCCGAGTTCAGTGTTCGTACCACACACGAATCTGACACGACAGTTTCTCGCTCGTCTATACTTTTTACTCTCTTTCTCTTTCTCTATCTCGCCTCTCGTTTCTCTCACCCACACTTGTCATACATCTCTCTCTCTCTCTTTACGATAGTTCACGCAACTGCTCGAGCTTCTTATTGACGAATCATTATGATCATTTTTTCATAAAAACATAATGTTCATTTAGTTGGCATTTGGCTTTTAGAGCTGCTTCATTCATTTGTTAGTTTTCATAAACATCTTAGCTAGAGAATAGCACGAGACATTCAATCGATCAGATCGATCGCCGTACCTTGCTTATCTTTAGTTCTTAATAATAGTAGTTCTTTTTTTAACGCCAACTACCTCGTTCTGCACACGATTATTACACATTTGCATGCATGTGGCCATTGTTGAAGCATGAATCTAAAGAAACTTAGCTCTTATAATTCGATGCTGGATAAGCTGACGCACCGAAGATCGCTGTAGTCCAACGAGGTAGTTCAGCGTACTTGAAACAAACGAAAAATGAACCATAGTTGAAAAAATTGAAAACAACAAAAAAGATACGAAAAATTTCTCCTCGCTGATAAGAAGGAGAGCAACCAAAAAGAAATAGAAAAACAAATCGCTGACTGCTTCTCTCTCCCCTCATGCGCAGCTGGTACCCCAGCAGGTGAAGCCGCAGCAACAGTCGTCGGGTGGCCAAGGCGCCCAGCCCGGCTCTGCCGTACCGGGACCAAGTCCCATGCGGCCAGGCCAGAGCCCCATCGGCCATCCGCCGGCGAGTCTGCAGGGTCCTCTCAGTCCGCCGCCTTACAACTCGACCGGCCAGCCGTCGCACATTAATTATCAGGTTGTGATATCTAACATCATCAAGTTCTTTTTTTTTATTTATTTATTTTTTATTTTTGTTGTTGTTGTATTTTTTTTTGTTAGACACTTACTTCTCGTTTTAGAAGATGTATCTTTGCTCAATAGAAAATAAGATCTCGCGGCTAATCGTTCATTTTTTTTAATAAAATAGTTTATCGTTAATTTAATTTTGTTTTATTTACTTATAGTTTTCTTCAGTTCTGGTAATGCCTATCGCTGTTTTTCAATTTATTTGTCTACTGGTTGGCCAGACTTAATACCATCGTTTCTCATTATATACTGTCATGTCGAATAGAGGCTGTAGATTTTGTCTTTCATTTTACTTCGTTTGTATACATATTCAACACGAGTAGTTGTCTACATATACTACAGAGAAGAGCTATCTTGCAATTTTTTTTTCCAAAACATTGCAAATAACACAAAAAAAAACACAACAACTGCTACACTTCTTTTCTCAAAGGGGCACGCAAACTAACGATCGAACTTTTCTTACTCACAGCAGTATCCTGGCTCGCAGGCAGCGGCCCCGTACGGCAACATGTCGGCGATACCCTCGCCACCGGCCGTACTGTTCAACACCGGCTCGGGACAGTTGCCAGCTCAAGCCGGCAACTTGTACGGCGCTTTCCAATTGGATCAGGGCCGATCGCCCTTCACTCAGTATCCGCCGTACGCGCCGTCGCTGCAGAGCTCGTACAATCAGAACATGTACATGCAGCCGCAGCAACCGCCGCCGCCACCGCCCCAGCCACCGACTGCTCAGCCTGATATTTATCAAAGCAATCTCTCTCAGCAATACAGACTCGTGAGTATCTTCGAGACAGGGTGGCACCAATTGTCAAGCGATTCTCGAGCGTTAATATTTTTATAAATCATTTTGTCACGCAGGCCGCAGCCGCTGCTCCACCATTTGGACAAAATCAGCAGCTAAGCAATAATCCGAACACGGTTCTTATTAGCTCGTCATCGAATTCTCTGATGTCTGCTAGTGTTAAGCCGTCGACACAGCCTATCGGTGCCATTGGTACTAAGACAGGTCATTTCCCGGCACCTTCAGCTCCACAACAGCCAAATCAAGTAAATATTCATTTTATAATAACAATTTTCCAACTATTGTTCGATTTCTAAAGTAACTGATTTTTGCAGTTGGCATACATTCCTTACGATCCGCAACAAGTGTTGGGTGTCAGTGGTAACTACATGGGCAACTCGCAGCTTGTCCAGAGACCAGGCCCCAACGTGCAACCACCGGCAAACAACTATTACAACGCAGCATCTGCTGGTAAACCTAACTCGAATTTATGTAAGCTTAACCAACCTTTCCTTTATTCATTTATTTGTAACTACTATGCACGATAATATATATTGAGATTTTTTTTTAAATTTTTTGATCGATATTACTTGAAAGTTATCGATTTTTTTCCACAACCAATTGACATTTTAATTCGCAACAGCTTAATCCTGATCTTATTGATCTATCACAAAATGCAGTGCACAATTTTTTTTTAAAATCAAATCGTTGACCATGACACTAAAATCGTATGGTTTCCTTTTTAGATGTATTCTCCGGATCACAGACAGGCTTCTATCAACAAGCTAATGCAGCCCAGCAAACAGGTGCACATTACGGCTTGCAAGGTTTTGGACAACACAATCAAAATTTACCCACTGGTAATGCAGCTCCTGTCGGTCTCCAAAACTTTGGATCACAATTCCTCTCCAATTCTGGTCTGCAAATAGCTGCAGCTGCAGCCCAACAGTATGCCCAACGGAATCCTCCAGGTGGCTTACCAGGGCCAGCTAATGCCGCTGCTAATTTCCTCAGTAAACATCAGCAACAAGAGCAGCCTAGACAGCTCAAGAGTCCATCCGGAAATCAACAAGATGTCCTAGGCTCCGTGTTTAACTCAAGTTTGTACTCATGTACTAAGTTCACCCTTTTTTTTTTATTTTTTTTTTTATAATAGTGATTGAAATGACCAGAAAATTAACCATTTTCTTGTAAAATTTCAGCACAACAAATACCATCTCCCAAATCGAGAAAACAACAAGCATCTTCACAACAACAGCAATCCAGTTCTTCGCAGCACCACAAATATAACCAATATCAAAATATTAATCAGCCTGGTCTGGTTGGCAATTACAACAATCAATTCGTAAGTAACACCTCTTTTTTCCATACTCTGAGATAAATCACAAGCTTGATGCACGAATATTTATATTGATTGTTAGCGTGCTATATTATGCTTAATATGCCAATAACCATCTGTTAAAAATTCATGCTATTCGCAACTAAAATACTAATCGTTATCTAATGGTTTAAACAATGACCATAAAGTTTATGCAGCAGAACCGAGGAATGCAAATGCCACCACGTGGTAATATTCAACCGAATCAACAGCAGCGACCATACCCAGCACCCATACAGCGACCAGCAGTTGTTCCGGGCTCATTCGCTCCGGGTGGTCCGAACAATTCGCAGCAGGGGCAGCAACAAAATTGTATTCCCAATCAACAGCAACAACAGCAGCAACAGTCTCAAATGAACCGACATCGGCCTAATATGCATCAACAACAGCAACAACAACAGCGAAACATGAAAATGCAGCAGCAACAGCAGCAGTACTATTCAAATCAAAGTGAGATTTAATGCTTTTATTATAGCAGTGAGTCGAATCGTTTATTTGTGAAACTCTTTTCTTCTCTTATCGTGCCTTTTTCTCTAATCGCTGCTTTCTTGGCGTTCTCTTTTTCTATGTTTTAATAAATGAACGATTCCAGTGACTTAAATTTGTTTTAGCGATTAAAAATAATAACTCGTGATTCGAAATTTTGCTCTAGGCAATGTGAAGATGGATTCAGGAGACAAAGATCCTCATGGCGACAAAATATCTGATGTCAATGCTGGAAACTCATCTGTAGGCGGTAACAAAGGGAACGTCAATCCCGTTGAGAGTGACAACAAAGAAGAAGTCGGACAACAAAATGAATAAGTCATCAAAAACTATCAAGGTTTCTTGATGACCATTCAATAATTACTGTTGAAAAAAGAATCCATCTTTATTTAGAGAATTCAATTCAATTATGACTAGAAACCCGTCTGTCAACTATTATTCTTGGCTTGGGACGAAAATTAATAAGCATTAATTGCTACTTTTAATTATACTCACGATAACGAAGATGATAAATCATATATGCATACACTAGAACGTATAACTCTGGTGCATTTTTACATCAACTAGTTTGTAAAATTAGGGCAAAACATGAACTGATATCAGTTAAATTGTATGTCTAAAACGCGAAACTCACTTGGAAACAGCACATGAAATGGAAGCGCTGAAAGAGATTTCTTTTTGAATTTTATAATTGTACTAATTATGACGCTTGAAAGATTTTTTGAACTGGCGTCTCTTGTTTCATCTACATATAGCATAAGCGCGATGGCATGATTAAATAACTTTTTATCGAATCAATTCGATAGTATAGCAGTGGTCAAATTTTCAACCTTTAAATCAATATAAGTGTAAAAGTTTCTATAAATATACTTTGCACATTGCAGTGTAACGTAACTAAAAATGATGAATCGCCACCAAATTTTGGGCGTAAAATTTAGATGAGCCAAAAAAGAGTTCACTCTCGATACAATAGAGACAATTATTAATCTCAGCTCATAAGAAAATTGCAATGTAAATCGTTGATGCTGCGCCACGCATTAATGTGATAAAACCTAAAAGAGGCCAGAAACTGCCCTTCTTCATACACGCTGGAAGACTGTCTTTTGCTTTGGCAGAAACTTTTTGCATAAGTACATTAATAATGGCAAGCATTTCTATAACGTATTTGCAAACTTTGTGCATTCTTCTAAGTCAAATACATTAAAAATAATCTCACAAAAAGTAACAACATTAACATGATATGGACCTTGCCTTTTGCTTGGTTATTTTGTATTTATAGCTGTAAAATGTTTTCAAGTATCGAAAGTGCAGCATATTAAAAGTCTCACTATATTTGCCAAGGCTGATTAATCATTTGAAACAAAATAAAGCCTCATGTTTATATAAGAAAAAAAAGCTAAAGTATAAGAAAAAAACAAGAAATTAAGAAAAATAGCAATTGTACATTTCCGTTGTCGTTTCTAATTAGGTCGTCTGTTATTATAATTATTATTAATATTATTATATAAACAAAAAATTCATTAAAATGAAAAATAAATGCAAGCTATCAGCTTAAAAAAATCAAATTCCACCTTTGCATAGTTTTTTATTCGAACATCGGTTGTGCTAAATTACTTGTCACAGCCAAAATATATACAATATATAAAAAACATCATATATTAATGATAATATATATTAACTGACGTTACTTTCATGACGGAATGAGACTGGATTCGATTTATCTTTGAATTTATCGAGAACGTAATGAATTTACTGCCAGTCGTTTCGACGACAACCACAATACCTACGAATGTTTTTCACCTTTTAGTAGAATAAACTTCAAGTATAAGAATCGAATGTGTGTAGGGGAAAAACATAATGTACTATCACGTGTCGCCAAGATGCACAAGTAAAATTACAAAATGAAAATTCACATCAATGATTTAATTTGTCGTCAAAGCGTATCACGCGAAGCTAAGTGGTCATAAATAATAAATTAATTATCTCTTTGCCGAGAACCGTGCGTAAACATGATCTTGAATAATCTGTTATGTAAATTACCTGGATGTGTCTTAAATTTGCAAGCAAACTGAGGAACATGTAATGATTAATGTGAAAAAAAAACTAAGGAAGCATCATGTTTTGTGACTTTGAACGAGATGCGCGTGCAATTATTCGACGTGTGATAATGCCAAATCGCATTGAACATTGTTATAATGCGCTCGGAGCTTGTGAAAAAGCGCAAAAAAAATGGTTGCTAATGACAGCCCGTTCGGACGAAAAACAAAAAATTGATCGCGTGCACGAACGAAAACGAATTCTTCTCTATATTACTTTCAGATTGTCGATTAACAATCTCTTATTTTTCGTTCGATTTGAAGTCAAAGCAGTAACGTCGATTCAAAACTAGCTAAAGATGAAAAAAAAATTGAGCGAGATGAAATATTCCATTGATTGCTATGCAGTAGCTGCTCTACTATAACTTTATGGAAATATAATTATCTCTATCTTCCTCGTTGTTTTAGTTGTAATTAACATTTGTGTTTGGACGTGTACATTTAGCGGACGAATATTGTCACAGGAAAGCATATTAAAGTAATACCTGCCACAATGATTAACGTAGTGACAAAAAAGTGCGTACAATATACTTGTGATTGCTGAATAAATATATAAATAATATATTGATAAAAATACCCGTAAGCTGCGACTGCCTATAGAGATGCGCCGTTCTCGATTGAGACGGATTTCCCAGAAATGAAATGCAATCGCATTCGGCGTCGCTGCGCAATACGAAACTTCTTCGAGGGGTCATTTTTCACTTCAAGTTGCATAAATATATACGTCAAAAAGACTGGCATGTGTACCTTATGAACTAACGACACTGTTTTGGTATTATAATAGAAAGTGAGTTTGTCGAATATACAATGCAATAATTATAACTCAGTTTGAAAAGAATCAACGTAAATGTAGTTGCTAAGTAGTCAGCGCCTACAGGATATGTTGACTTTCTTTTCCTATTGTAATAATTATTCGTAAAACGTATTTTTAATAGTCGTAATTAATTTTATAACTTTTTTTTCTTTTCCTTTCAAAAATAGCGACAAGAGTATCGAAGATCGCATTTTCGAGTTATATGGTCGTAAATTCTTCTGCGACAAACGATACATATGTCCTATATTCATAGGGGTTTTATCCAAAAGACTGAAAGTTGTGAGTTTGTTATTAATGGAATGCGGAAACTTTGAAAGAAAAAGAAGTAAACTGAAATGCAACTGATTCTCTTATAGTAAGATAAAATTTTTGTGAGATAGAAATGTATAATATAAATATTATTTCGAAAAAAATAACATTCTCTATTTGTAGCCTGTTATAGTCTTTGTTTAAGTAAATTATATTGTTAGCCAGCCGCGATTCCTCATTTCTCAATGAGAAAAAAAAAGATAAATCAAGTGAATCATAAAAATATATATTAACATGTACTTGAAGTTTGAATTTACATGAATCCAAACGTTGGATTTTGCGTGAAAGAAAAATTGAACCCTCGCGTGTTGCTATTGCGCGGCCACGAGATATATTACTTCAAACTTTTGTTGAGAGCCATTTGACAAAAAAATGCACCACGCGCAAATAGTTTGAGTAGTTTATTTGGGATAGATAGCCGATGACAACGGGCAAAATCTGATCGCATCGCGAGCTATACGGGTCGAGGCACGTTAATTTAGATTTTTTTGTACGAATCTTCAATCGTGCCTCGTATTACACACATACACACTCAGCGATTAATCAAATTAAAATATCAAGGAAACTGAAAAACTATCGTGTAATTGCTGATGTCGTTTCGATAATTTTTTTTTCTCATTACCTTTTTTGCTTTGAAACGAAAATGAAATAAAAAAAAAAATAAAAGAAAATGATTTATCGAAAGGGAAAAGAAAAGTAATTGTGAAAAAAACTGCATTAAGTGGGTCGTACTGCATTCGACGGCAGGTACGTCGATGCTGGGGATTATGTAAAAAGAAAAAGGCGCTCGCGCACTCGTTTGATCTGTGTACCTATATTTAAATATAAAAAAAAAAGAAAAAGTAATGTGGATGATTACTATTATATAAATGTGTAATTGTAATGGAGTTTTTGTACGCCGCTATTTGTACACGATTTCTATTGTATCTTTTCGTTTGTATTATTATCTTATACTGTACTATTGTGTAACCGCTATATGGAAGAAAAAAAGAAAAAGTAATGATAAAGAGTTTGAGACGACGAAACGATTCGTTTTGAAAAAAAAGTATCCATTATTATGTCATATAGCTCGGGTTAATCGTGTTACGATATTCCTATCCTATACACATTTTTCTGCTAAAAAAAGAAGAGTATATTACGAGTTAATTATTATTGTGTAATCGTTCCTTTCCTCGGGTTCGTAGCTGTATACACCAGAACGAAATCACTTTTATATATAAATAAAAAAGAGAAAAACAAACATGATCGAGTTATAAACGAATCTCTTTGTTTTTAGTTCATTGAAAAAAGAAAATTTTATCGACATATGTATTTCATAATGGACTCGGTAACACACGCGAACAAGAACCTTTTAATCATTATGCAGTGGTACATATGAACATTGATAATTATATTTAAATGAAAAAAAAAACGCGCATGGATATGTGTACACGTTGATGTATAGTATAAAAAAAAAAAAAATGACGGAACAAAAAATGTATTCAAATGCGAATAATGACTAGGTAACTGTGAACTTACGATTGAAAATATTGATGAATCCGACAAACGAAACGATGATGGTAATAAAAGATAAAATATATTAGTTCTTAATTATGACTTGATCTTTCATTGATTTATCGTAATACATTGTACATGGCAGTTTCAGCGCAGTTTATCGTAGTATCCTTTCTTTTGCGTAAAGCGTATAGTATAAATAAGTAAATTTATATATGAAAACCGTGAAACGTGCAAACTTAGCTTTTTTTACATTTTACAAATGTATAGTTATTACGGTAAGAAAGAGGAGCGATCAGACCTATTGTATTTTTTTGCAACACGTCTTTAGGTGAAATTAAAATGACGATTATCTTAAATGGTGAGATCCATTTTAGTCAACAAAAAATTTCAAATCTGTTATGTTGTAAAGTAGAACATTTTTTTTTAATGTTCTCAAAGTGTAAGCGAATGAAAAAAAAAAATGAATAAAAACAGCATCTTTGACTTGGCACCATTGAAGTTAATTTTAAAGGTTTAATAACAAATCTTGGGTTAAAATATCTATATGTACACATTTATTCGGAGAAACAATACTCTTATTAATTTTATAATTTACGTTCCAAATTGCTTTTTCTTTAATGTGGGTGGTAACTTTTCAGTCAGTGAGTTGTGATTTAGCTCCACAGCGACCAGCTCTGTATCACTCATCCAATCCAAATGAGCCAAATGCTGTAAAGAAAATTTTTATCATTAGAACAATTTTCAGAATTATAGAAGATTGAAATTTGTGAAAAGTATTGTTTACATACCTTATATTTCTTTACAACCTGCAATGCATGCTTGGAGTTTGGATTTGACCCAGTGCTCTCTTCTTTGTCAAGACTTTCTAGTTTAGGAATTTTGGCATTGGCATTTGGAAGATCACTGACTTTATTTACTACAAATACTGTAGTACTATCATGGAATATTATTACATTGTCATTATTTTCATCAAAAATAATGTGGGTGATTGGAAAATGCCTGGCCAGCCATTGATTTGGCAATCGCCCTTGCAAATTATTCGAAAAGTCGGTGAATTTTCGGCGTGGTATACTGTATTCTAAAATTTTCTGATCAGAGTAAACAATAACTAAATTGTTAGTGTCTTTTTGCACAGCCATAGCTGTAACTACACAACTATACTGGGGAAGAGACCATTTTTCTAAAGATCCTGAATGTAAATATTTTTCTAAATTATAAACAACTATGTGACTGTCAACATCTGATATTATTAAATATTTATTGTCTGATGAAAGAGAAACATGGCCAACAGTTTTCACATTTTCATTTTCCGTCGTAAAGGATGTCTTGAAAAATAAGTAATTTTCATTATTAACAGAATATATTGATACTATGTTTCGTTTGCCGTCGTTGCTGCAAGTTATAAATAACTTATCGTCTGAACTGAATATCATTTTATCCACTTTTTTGTTTGGAACATCACTCTCTTGCTTCATGATTTGAACAGAATTGTCAATAACATCAAAATTAAACACCCTTGTTGTATTTTGTGTAGAATAAATGATTAATTTTGAATCTTTTGTAATTGCACAAGATACAATATTTTCTTCGTCCTTGGTTTTGAGTTGTAAAATATTTACTGGGTTTTCTCTTAATTGATGGATTGTACCAGGATTCACTGAGCCATTTTCTAGTGTTGCACGACCAAGTTTCCAAATTTGCAAATAATTTGCATATTTCAACATGATGCACCTTGATTTTGGGCAAGCATGAGCACTAGGATGTTGCAATAGAGGTGGATGCTTCACCAATGTTTTTGGTGGATAGCTTGACTGACCCAAGTAGCCATCTACACCACCAGAGTACAATTTATTATCAATAATAGTAAGAGCTCGCACATCATGAATATGAACTCTTCGTTCAATACCTCTCACCCATTGGGCTTTACCCAATGATTTTGTAGTTACTTTTTGGAAGGTTCTAATTACTGGATCCACTCCAGCACAATAAATTATATTCTTGTCGCTTGTCATTGTTATGGCAAGAATGTCTGCTATATGACTGTCATGGTATTCTACTAATACTCCCTTATTTGGATCGTAGATACTGAGAGTTCCTCTGGAGTCTCCAGACACAATCATATTTTCATTGGTCACCTCCAAACACCATACTATTGTTTCTTTTCTCTCTTTCCTTGGAACTATCATTTTGTGAATAGCATGACCCGATGTTGCATTCCACACTCTGATTGAGTCCTGAGAACCAGTAAATATCATACCACCAGTCAAATCCCACTTGAGGCACAGTATCCGACCCTTCTGTTTATCAAAAATTCTCTCATACATTAAAGAGTCTTCTGTTACAAAAAATGTATTGATATATCCCTCTTCTGTACCAACAGCGATTCTACTTTTATTTGGATTAATATCCATGCACCAAGCTGCTCCACCAGTCAGTGCATTTTCTTCTTTTACACCAAGCATGACTGAGTCATACTCTGTGATCATTCCTCGTAAGCCACATGTAAATAGTCTACTGCCTACCCAGAGGATACCTTCGATGGAGTCAATAGAGTCAGCTCCACAGATGGTCGATTCCAAAAAGGGAGCATGAGCCACATTCCACAGCTCCAGTGTATTGTCATCTCTGAAAAAAAAAATAATAACATCATTGTATCAAGAGTTTTTTTTGATTATTTATTATTAAGTTTAGAAAGCACGAGTATGCTGAAAAACAAACCTTGCAAGAGCCAACTTCTTTTTCTCGGGTTCGTAGGCGAAGCACACGATGGCCCTGGGTTTCAAGTCGTAAAAACGAACGTTGTGTATCTGAACGGACATCTTAATAATAGAAAATGTAATCACACTGCGTTTACTTGACGATTAATTGATCTCATCCATCAGAGATGGTATGTTAATGTACCCGTTCTTGAATCGAATAGCGCACGTGCGTTTTTTTAGAACTATGCGCTCAGCGAAGTTCAAAACGGATAGGTGGCGCGTGGCAGCGGCTCCGGCGACTGCACATCTTTACATCTGACATCTTTACATTACTCAGATGATCTGGCGTCCGATTCTATCCAATTCAAATTCAATTTACGAATGGACTTGCGATTCGTATTTCGATAAATTAAAAAAAATATCCAAATGTTAGCCCGTCGTTTGCACTCTCATTTTTTTATTTTTTTTTTATTTTTTTTTTATTTTTTATGAACTTATGTTTATTTCATGAAATAAATCGTGATACAGAAAGGTATTAACATATTTAAAAGACTTATCAGCTATTATACATGTTACGTTATACACAGAATGATCAGTGACTGATGCTCGCTGTCTTATAATTTTATAATTAGGGTTACATAGAGTTGAATTGTAAGGGTGAACTGAGCCTTAGATTTATATATGTTTGCGTCTAGAAAAAATTTTTACAAGAGTGAAAAAAAAACCAGTTGCTAAGTTTTTTAATATGCTTAATTGTAGGTAACAATTATTTAATAACAATACTTAATACTAACAAACAAAACAACTAAAATGGCAAAGATTAACAAGGAAAAAATTAATTTTTCTTTTCTTTAACGTAGTATTTAAATTTAGATATAAGCTCTTCGTCGTATGTAATTAATTTTCTGCAATAGATAATTTTTATTACATATAGAGAGAGGTAGAGATTTATTAGTTATGTCGTTTGCACTCTCATAAAACTCCAATGATCGAGCGGTAAATTATTTATCGATACTACTTGTTGCCGTTGTTCGTTTTTCTTTTTCAAAATTTTAGATGTCGCGCAACTCGAGATGACCTCTAGCGAGTAGCGCCGCGCATGCGATGAGGTGGAAAGGCGGCATTACTGCGCAACGGCATCGGCGTGAGGTGTTAGTCGGCGTGGAGGAATCAAGATATCTCTCTTTCAAGCGAGGCCATCACGATGGTACGTGAGTACAATTCAATATTCTAATTTTATTCTAAATATTATCAGAATAGGGTTGCAAAATAGTAAGTTTATTGTTAAGATACGCTACGATCGCTTTATCTACTACTTATGCACAATTGTATTGATAATAAATTCATAAGATTTGCTGCATTAATATCAATCGATACTCTGCCATGTGAGAATCGCTTTGAGGTTAAAGCATGCCAATGTGCACGCGTGTACTTGCTAACTGCATTATTAAAGTTTAATTCAATTGATATTTATTGGTCTTCGAATGTGCAAGGGTTATTAGCTAGCAACAATTGCCAAAATGATGATCCCACTCAGCTCGCTTCGATGTAATAACTGAAGAAAAACACTTGTTCCCTAATATGTTTAATGGCTGACTGGCAATTTTACGTGCCACATTTTCTCGCTTTCGAAAATTCGAACAAACTAATGATAATTCGTTTCTTCTTCTCTAAAGGGTTTCGTGAAGTTAGTGAAGAACAAGCAGTACTTCAAGCGCTTCCAAGTCAAATTCAAGAGGCGTCGTGAAGGAAAAACCGACTACTATGCTAGGAAACGCCTGACCGTTCAGGACAAGAACAAATATAACACCCCCAAGTATAGGTTGATCACACGTATCTCCAATAGAGATATCACATGCCAAGTCGCATACGCCAGGATCGAAGGCGACAAGATTGTGTGCGCAGCATACAGTCATGAGCTGCCCAAGTATGGTATCAAGGTTGGTCTGACCAACTACGCTGCTGCCTACTGCACCGGTCTTCTCTTAGCCAGAAGGGTAAATATCTTATTTTATCATTGATATATTTTTAATATTGAGAAAATTTCAAATGATGATTCCACTCAGCTCGCTTTGATGCATAACTGAAGAAAAATCACTTGTTCCCTAATGTTTTAAAAATCTGAAAATATCAAGTCGATTACATAGTAATTTCAAATGCTGTAGAACAAATTAATTGAATTATAATTTCATTTTTCAGCTGCTGAAAAAATTGGGCTTGGACACCTTGTACCCTGGAACCACCGATGTTACTGGTGATGAGTACAATGTTGAAGAGCTCGACAAAGGACCTGGTGCCTTCAAATGCTACTTGGACACTGGACTCATGCGTACCTCTACTGGTGCTCGTGTATTCGGTGCCATGAAGGGAGCTGTTGATGGTGGACTTAACATCCCACACAGGTAAATATTAACAATGACAACCTACCAATCTAAAATCAAATAATTTCTTGCATGAAATTTTTAATTTTGTATGATGAACAATTGACACATGCGCGTCATCTGAGCCATCATAATTCTTTCCTTATGCGTGTGTTTTACATTCATAAGATAAAGCTTTATACCGGCATAATAAGATTATAAAGTGTCTCTGACATTTGTTAGCTTGAAAAATTGAATTTTTGCATAGTTGAATCCATTCTTACAAAATTCATTCGTAATTTCAGCTTGAAACGCTTCCCTGGCTATGACAACGAGTCCAAATCTCTGAATGCTGATGTTCATCGTCAACACATCTTTGGACAACATGTTGCCAACTACATGAAGCTTCTTGAAGAAGAAGACCCAGAAGCTTTCCAAAGACAATTCTCGCAGTATATTAAGAACGGAATTGCTGCCGATAGCGTAAGTTGATATCTCAATCTTATTTTTCATTTTATAGTTGATATATTTTTTAATATACAAAAAGTTTTAAATGATGATCCACTCAGCTCGCTTTGATGCATAACTGAAGAAAAAACACTTGTTCCCTAATGTTTAATAAATCTGAAACTATATAAAAATTTCCCATCCATTTTACATTGCAATATCGTAACATGTGCTAATTTTTATTTTAATTTTTTCGCTTGCAGATTGAAACTATGTACAAAAAGGCACATGAAGCCATCCGTGCCAACCCAGAGCATGTTAAGGAAGAGAAGAAACCTCAGGAGAAGAAGAAGAGGTGGAACAGAGCAAAAATGTCACTCTCAGAGAGGAAGAACCGTGTCGCTCAAAAGAAGGCATCGTTCCTCAAGGCACTCGAAGCCGAAGAATAAAAACATTTTTAAAATCAATGTTTGTATTTTACTGTTGTTATTCAGCAGTACTGCACTATTCTTCAGTTTACATTGTCAACTTGTTTGTAACGAATATTGCTTAGAGGATATAAGAATGACCATAATAAAATGTACTACGCATTTTTTAATATTTTAAGTAAAATTTTCTGATTTTATTTATCATTGAAAAATGATGTTGATATACAAACCCATACCAGTTCCCAACAAACAAGTTACTTTTTCACCAAAAATATTGATATGAACTTAAAAAAGTATAGAGCAAGACTCATTGTTAAACATTGATTGATTTGAATAATTTAACGCATACTACAATCAATTCAAATTCAAAGAAATTTCATATTTCTGGAATATAAAGAAAGTTTCTAAGTATAACTAATCGGGACATGAAGCTAATGGAACTCGAAGTAAAAGTTGACTCGAACAATTTTTCGAACAATATATAAATTGATAATTACTAGCAGTTATCGAAAATATTAATCGTGGATCAAGGTCACGCGGTAACTATTAATTATAAGTAATTAAATAGATTTTTTACTCGATATTCAAATTGTAAAATTTACTATGAACAAGCCACGTGTAATTGTATAGCTTTCCCCCGGGCATATACAGTAGCATACGACTAGTGGCAGTACCGTCGACTTACATCTTTTTTAAAATTCTAAAATCCAATGAAATAATTTAAAAAAATACTTTCAACAAGACTTTCTTTAAGGGTTTGACAGAGATTTTTGATTTCTCACCAAGTGTTTAGGTAAAAAATTGTGATTTTGGTCTATATCGTGAATTTATATCCTTTGAAACTAAGAATTTATATTATCCAGTTTAATAATACATAAAAAAATGGTAAATTCTTGCATGATAGTTATAAATTTTATTAAAAAATACAGTTGTATGAAATAGGATCAAAAGATTAATTACATTACATCGAAAACAATTTAGTCTACTAAATTACGGATTTTTCTATTGATAATGTAAACAATTAATTATATTTTTCTTTTTTGTAAAAAGCATAAAATTGTTTTTTCGAGATTATGCATGAAAAAATATGATTTTTTTTCCTTAAATAATACAGGGCTATCATTAATTATGCCATTTATTATACTATAATCCATGTTTGAATAGTTATAAAAAGTATATTAAAAGAATTTTACTACGAATGTTTAAAAAAAACTCAAAAAATCAGCTTTATAGCAACAGCTGCAAAAATATGTGAAAATTTAATTAAAAAATAAAAAAATTAAAAATTAGCGTGAATCATCATAAAGGCAACATTTTGATTGAAATTTGAAAAAAAAAACATCTCTATAAGTATTGATATATATATATATATATATTACAATTGTCAATTAGAAAAAAATCAGCGCACTCAGGTAATGCTTTCTATTATCAGAGAACTTATGACTAAAATGAGTTCGAGACATTCGTATGAGCGATCAATTATACATAAAGACTGGATTATCATCAGACGTGAATTTACGATTGTGAGAAAAAAGCTTTTGAAATATTAGCCTAATGAAGTTTTCTTGAGCTTGATCCAGAACATTTCAAGAGTCAATAGATTCTGGAATTTAATGTTAGTATACTCACTAATTACGAAAGCTCATAATTGTCCATAAGTTTCAGACCTAGTGTCGTGGACTACTTTTTGGTGTCTTTTCAAATTGCTCGGAACCCCAAATTTCTTTTCGCATTGGTTACATGCGAAATCTTTCTTGCCATCGTGGACTGCCCTTTGGTGCTTGAGCAAACTCGGTTTTTGTGTAAATTTCTGCTCGCATTTGGCGCATGCAAAATCTCTGCGACCATCGTGAACTGTTTTTTGATGGGTGAGTAAAGTTCCTTTTTGTCCAAATTTCTTCTCGCAAATTTCGCATGCGTAATCTTTACGACCTTCGTGGACTGTTTTTTGGTGCTGAATCATAGTCCTTTTTTCTCCAAATTTCCAGTCGCACTTGTTGCATGCGTAATCTTTCCGACCCTCGTGTACTGTCCTTTGGTGCTTTAACAAATCTGATTTGAATCCAAACTTCTTTTCACACTTGTCGCATGCGTAATCTTTGCGACCATCGTGTAAGGCCTTTTGGTGCTTCAACAAATCTCCTTTCTGTTTAAATTTCTTCTCGCACTTGTCGCATGCAAAATCTCTGCGACCCTCGTGGACTGTTTTCACGTGCAAGAGTAAATTCCGTTTGCTTGCAAATTTCTTTCCACAATCGTCACATAAGTAATCTTTGAAGACTTTGGAGGCTAAATATTTTTGACCCTCGTGGACTGTTTTTATGTGCAAATGCAAAATCTGTTTATTTCGAAATCTTTTCGCGCACTTTTCACATAGGTAATCTTTGAAGACTTCGTGGAATATTTTTTTGTGCTTGAGTAAGGTTGATTTATTTTCAAATTTTTTTTCGCACTTGTTGCACGTGAAGTCTTTGCAATCATTGTGTGCTAATTTTTGGTGCGTAAACAAACTTGATTTTTTCACAAATTTCTTTTCGCACCTATCGCATGTAAAATCAGTGCGGTTTTTGTGTTCTGATATTTGATGTCTACTCAAATGACTTCGAAACTCAAATTTTTTCTCGCACTTGTTGCACGTGAAATCTTTGCAATCTTTGTGTGCTAATTTTTGGTGCGTAAACAAACTTGATTTTTTCACAAATTTCTTCTCGCACTCGTCGCATGTAAAATCTTTACGGATTTTGTGCACTGATATTTGGTGTCTACTCAAATGACTTCGGAAATTAAATGTCTTTTCACACTTGTCGCACGAGTAATCTTTTCGTTTATTATTACTATTTTTGTGTGTTATCACGCTTGATTCTAGAGTAAATGCCTCCTGAAAAATATCACAAACGATTTGTTTGCCGCCCGAAACATCCCTGGAGACAATATCCTCTGATTTCTTCTCATTTTTATCAATCATGGTGCTTAAAATAAACGTTGAATCGTTCTACTTGGTGTTATACAGAAATTAAATGATTAAAATGTATCTTTAGGTATTATATGTGTGGTAGAGAGAAACAAGATTCAAACTAATTTACTTTCACTATACACATCGTACGTCTTACGAGGGACGACTTTCAATGCGATTGTTTACAATTAAGTTATCGATTTATCGGTTTATACATTGCCTTCAAAATTTGAACCCGTTCTTACTTCAGTTTGTTACAAATTTGAACGAGCTTATCGCTAGTTTAAAAATTGTTTTCAGCTCCGATGACAAAATACAAAATTATCTTTGCATAAGGGCCGTGCTCGAAAAAAAATTAACTCGATCGAGGACTCAAATTTTCGGCTTACTCGATTTCTTTTTCGGCAAGGATACTCGAGTTTTGGAACTTTTTTTCATCAAGTCTATCATAATTAAAAAAATTAACCCGTTTATAACAATCTATGTTGTGTTTCATTCGGAAAGAATTTAAAATTTCACTGAACAAACTTTTTCATTGATCTGTATTGATACTGAAAGATTTAGTAACATTTTTATATTTTGCAATAAAATCAACGCATCGATTACAATGATGATGTATTTTCAGTTATTTTATTTATTTATAACATATATCTTTGATTTGTGAGTCGACGATTTAAACCAAGTTTTTTTTACAAATATATCAAACATGCATTGATAAATAAAAAATGAATTATCAATATAAATTTCACAAAGACCTTTGAATATCAAATCTAGAATAGATGAACACAACAAAGCCGGAGAGATTCCATATGGATTCTGCATGGAATCTATGCACTTTCCACGTTGAATCAACGTAGAAATCGACGCAATTTTTTCAACTGGGTTAATTAACGTTTGAATTTTTTACGATCTTCGTGTACTGCCCTTTGATGTAAAAGCCAATGATTTTTTTGTCCAAATTTTTTCTCACAATTTTCGCATGCAAAATTTTAGCGACCTTCGTGTTTTCTCTTTAGGTGTATAAGCAAATTACATTTTTGCCCAAATTTTTTCTCACACCGGTCACATGCGTAATCTTTGCGACCCTGGTGAACTGTTTTCATGTGTGCGAGCAAATTTCGTTTAATTCCAAATAGCTTCTCACATTTGTCACATGCGAAATCTTTTCGACCTTCATGGACTACCCTAACGTGGGCAACCAAAAGAAATTTATGACCAAATTTCTTTTCACACTTGTCGCATGCGTAATCTTTGCGACCATCGTGGACTGTCTTTTGATGTACAAGCAGAACATTCTTATGTCCAAATTTCTTTGCGCATTTGTCGCATGAGTAATCTTTGCGACCTTCGTGGACTGTCGTTTGGTGTAAGAGCAAACTCTGTTTTTGTGTAAATTTCTGCTCGCATTTGTCACATGCAAAATCTTTACGACCTTCGTGGACTGTTTTTTGGTGCTGAATCACAATCCATTTTTCTCCAAATTTTTTCTCGCATTTGTCACATGCGAAATCTTTTCGACCTTCATGGACTGTGTTTTGATGTTTGATCAAATTGCTTGAATCCCCAAATTTTTTCTCGCACTTGTCGCATACGAAATCTCTCAGACCTTCGTGTATTGTTTTCCGGTGCTTGATCAAATACGGTTTGCGTGCGAATTTTTTTTCGCAATATTCGCATGAGAAATCTTTGCGACCATCGTGAACTGTTCTTTGATGGGCGAGCAAATTTGTTTTTCGTCCAAATTTTTGCTCGCATTTGTCACATGAATAATCTCTTCGACCTTCGTGCACTGACTTTTGGTGTTCTCGCAGAACACTCTTGTGTCCAAATTTTTTCTCGCATCTGTCGCATATAAAATCTTTGCGACCTTCGTGGACTGTCTGTTGATGCGCAAGCATGTGCGCTTTGTGTCTGAACTTTTTCTCGCAAGTATCGCATGTGTAATTTTTTGAGTCTTTGAAATCTTTTCGCTTTTCATGAACAGTTTTTAGGTGAAAGAGCAAATGCGATTTTTTTTCAGATTTATTTTCGGACTTGTCACAGGCGAAATATTTGCATCGCTCATGAACTGTCTTTATGTGTAGGAGCAAATTCTGTTTATTTCCAAATCTTTTCGCGCACTTCTCACATAGGTAATCTTTAAAGACTTCGTGGAATATTTTTTTGTGATTCAGAAAACTTGATTCATTTTCAAATTTTTCTTCGCACTTGTAGCATATGTAATTTTTGTG